TGTGCTTGAGTAGTACCCTGAAAAATGTACCTTTTGTTTTTAATTTATCCTGAAAAATGTACCTATGACCTCATTATTGTATACCTGCAGTGTGAGAGCTAAGGCTCTGCTGCCAGAAATCTCTGGAGATTTAGTTATGCAACTACTATTCTGCTCACTGTTCTGTTTGCTGGAAATGCTACTACTGGACTACTATTGTAGTAATAGTAGTCAACTTCTGATGGCTATCTCCTAATTTCTACAGTTTTTGTATAATACATTTTTGCATATATCCTGCTTGTCCCGATTCTATGGTGACCTCTGTAACCAGCTACTCTCCTGTTGCTGGTTAAACCTTTTCTATATGGTCTATTTCGGGTTAGAAATATGGTGGACAAGCAGAATTAAGGGTAATCAATGAGGGCTCGGTCCAGGTGTTTATTAAGATCCCAATGCAACCTGACAGAGTTGGAAAACTTTTCGATAGAGGGATGGGCAAAATTGCAGTATCCAGGTATGCAACATTGATAGATACTTATCCACACAGATATAAGGTGCAATGGTGCATCTACTCAATACTGACATGAAGAGGGTGTAAATTTATGCAATCACTAATTTTGTGCTTTTCATTGTAATTAATTAAATCACATTACCTATTCTAGTTCTGTTGATGTGTGTTAAAGCCCCACAAAATTGAATCCGCTCCTCCAATCCAATCCTCTTACAATAAAACAAGAAGAAATTAAAATAATTTAGTTCTTATTAACTGCATTCTGATTGTGACTACAGCAAACATATGTTTTGATTTTATATTCTACATTCAAGACATTAGTCGTTAACTGATGTCTTCTGAGCCAAAAGACTTATGCTTGACTTTAAGTGAAGAACAGATGATTTATTCTTCTTAATAAGTATTTCTACCAGCAGGTATAACAGTGATAAATGATTTTTTCATGGAAACCTTTAAGTTGATGGCTCGTGTTGCAATAGATTTATATCATGTTTCCAAATAGACAAAGTGAAGCTTGAGTAAACTTGCTATCCTTAATTTAAAATGTACATATCAGATCTGAGATGATTTTTTATCTGGGCTTAAGTCCAGACCACAAGATCTAGCACTTCTCGTAGACAAATGCTGTAGGTCTTCTCTGTCCAAAGTTCAGACATGTCAGAGCATTAAAGAGATCGGTGTGTTGTTATAAAATGTCATATTATACAAATGACTCTTCCTTTCATAGTGTTAGCTTGACATAATAATGCCCTGCACCTAGCCCACTCAGTTAATAGAGTTTGTAAACACCTATTTCTAAAGTTATAATTGCATCTCTGTTTCTACATGCTTTATACGGTACATGTGTTTATCTTGGCTATGCTATTTAAATTGATTTACAAAATAACACACAAAAGATGGAAGAGTTGATTGAAATATGTAAACTGCACCCAATTTTTCAGCTTTTACATCTCTAGTTTAGAGAAAGTAACTCCACTTCTAAGGAATATCTACATCCAAAAACAAACTGTTTACATATTACAGCTTACCAGTCCTTAGATGAGGTGGCTGTACTGTATCTATGGAAGAACAGCCTTATTACCCCAGTACAGAAAATGACTACAGAACACGCTACCTGCCACTTACTACTTCAGTTCAATCTGGGATCATGGGCTTCTACAGCCACTCACTTCCGTAATGGCTCCGACTTGTACTGCCTGGTGAAGGGGATCTTGCGTGACCCTGAAACGTCGCAATGAGCATGTTTTGCACGTGCGTCAATAAATAGACGTACTTCTACCTTTGGAGTGCCGCTGTCTATACTTTTTTGTATTACTGGACGGTAGCCATCCGTCAACTGCCGATGCACCCAACTATTCCTATTATGGATAAGCGGTCAGGAGTGCAATGGGTATATGGATTGTACTTGTTAGGAAACAAACACCTGCAGTACCTAATCACAAGAGTATGTTGAGGCATCTGTTATACTGAGGACATTGGCTGAATTTGGTCTGAAGGTGTTAAACTATACTAGTCTGAAATGTAGTATGACTCTTTCCCTACCATATTTGTAGTTAGTTTATTAGCTTGATGAAGTCAATCAATGGATAAAGTGGAGTATCTATTACTGAACCACATGAATTAAACATATTACTAATTATAACATTAGTGATCACCTTTTTAAGTAGGTGATCAATTTACCAGAGTTACAAAAACAAGAATTCATGCTTAAAGGAGAACTATGAGGTGAGTGCTTTTCACTCACCTCATAGTTCTAGCCGACCTGTGACAATGAGACTGTCACAGGTCGGCTCAGTAGATCGGGAGTTGAGCGAACACATACCGGGTTCGCTCGCCTCTCGATCCTGTCACGGCTCTCTGACAGGGGGAGGGGCTGGATTCCCATCTGCCAGCGCTGACTGGCGGAACGGACGGGGGAGGGTGCAGCTGGCTCTGCCTCTAGATAGGCAGAGCCAGCTGTCACGCAGCTGGGCGGATCCCATCATCTACGTCGGGATCCGCTCCGGCGTCTCAGTATACCACGAGCTGTAGCTCGCGGTATACTGAGCTTAGGGTAACGGGAGGACGCTAGTTTGTGTCCTTCCGTTACCCTAAGGAGAACTATGGGGAAAAACACTGACCCCATAGTTCTCCTTTAATTCTCCAAGGGGGAACACCTGTTACGATAACTGTCTAAGAGGAGAATTCCCCTCACTTTGTAGTGATTTCATCTCACTTCCTGTTATATATTTGGGACACCCCAACAGAACATAGATAGCAAAAATTAACTGACAGGGGTTTTCAATATTTTGGCTACACATACACTTTAACTGATAGAAAATTTCAGTTCTAGTAGCAGGATGATAGGTAATCTCCAAAGTTTTACTACCACGATTTAGAAGGAAATACAAACACAACACTTACACGCAAATTATTGGATTATTGTACACGGGTTGTAAATACACACATTTTTTTTAAATAAAATTATACAATACTAGGCATATATTTAGAATTATCAGTGCAGTTATATTCAGGATTAATGTTGTACACTGCCTTGCCAAAACAGTATACAGTAACCTTACAAAGAATTAACGTGCAACTGCTTTACACCAAACTTTAAGTTGACAAACATTGGATGCCTGCAAAATGTATAATATGCCAATATAACACAAGTTAAATAAATATGAAACTCTATATGCATTGACAAGGCAAAAAATAAAAACATTCAATATCATCATAAAACCTATAACAATTCTTATTCCATCAACATGACACAGTGTTTTATAAAATATATATTAAAAAAAAAACAGTAATAACACATTTTCTGCAATGATGTCAAACAATATGATTCATTCTTCTAGTTTAAAGGACTTTCTAAAAGAAAACAAAAAAACTGTTCAACTGTTGCAAGTAGCATGCACCTTCAATTCTTTGAAAAGCACCCTGAAAGCCCTCAATCCTGGGTGCAATCCTTATGCAGATTAGGACTGGCTGCAAAGTAAAGCTCAGATGTGCCCCTCAAACTGCACAATTTAATGCATATACTTTTGAGAGTCATGGAATGGTATATATGTTGCAGTGTGGCATTAGGTTGCACAATAGAGCTCCGACTTAAAACCAACTGGTGACAGTTGATGAGTCTCGTTTTATGTTCTATTGTGTGTATTAAAATAAAGCAAGACGTTAGATATGCAGACCTATGACTAGTGTAAACTGAATCAGATGCCTTTTTACAGCCAGCTATAACTTTAAATTCTGTATAAATGTAACATAGCAGCATGGCAGTAATATTTATAGTTGTCATTTGGTTTTGGTTATATGTATGACAATCTAATGTCCTTCCTGTCCAACATGTGAGCATTATTATTTAAAGGTTTACTCCAAGTAAATCATAACATTTTGTATAGTGTGTACCTGTCCAGTTATTTGCTGATAGACCCTAACCCACAGTTTTCTCTCCTTTGAGTTATGATTTCTCATGGTGCATTTATACTCCATGTTGCAGAATTAAGGCTAATTTCCCTCTATAACGGAAAAGTAATTTACCAGTAGAACATATCACTTATTTGCCCTTGCTTCAGGAAAGAACAGTGACAATAAAGTGTCTATGGATCAGGAGGAGAGGGAGAGAAACATTTAAAGGAAAATTACCACCACAGCTTTGTATCAAGTGGGAGCAACAATATATATGCAGCAATGCTATCGGTGGTCACTTCTGAGCACTTGATTAACTAACAGCATCCTTCTGAAAGTGTACTTGTTACATAAAGCAGGTGTCAGCACATTTTAGCTGCCCCTCAATCAGTGACATGATTTGTTCCCAAATTGTGACCGTGATTTGTTCTGGGCTGTTAGGGTGACCAGAAAGACCTCAATCTGCACTGCATTTTACACTTTTAAAGGTTAGGGTCAAAAATGACAAGATGCCTGCTGTTATCTTTATTTGCCAGAAGATCCTTTACTGTGCGATGCTCAAATTTCATTTTGCTTTTTCACCAGAATCTGACTTACTTTTATTTCATGGCTAGACTACACTCACAGTCATTCTTCTGTCCAACGAGAGTGCACCTACTGGCTACTAAAAGCAAGTCTAGGAAAATAGTTCCCAGTAGCAAACCAAACTAAGTTACAGAGGAGCTCAGAGGCAGCTTTTCTGGTTAATAAAGGGAACAGCAGACATATTGTGGTATTTGTTCTTTAACATTTAATTCTAAGCACAGTGGAGGTCATCATTATGACTAATGATGATCCTCTTATCTGGTAACTGCTTGCACTGCATGCAATGCTCATAAAATATTCAATGTAGATGTAGAACAATTAACACTGATAAAGAACTGGTATTAAAGGTACTATGTCAAGGAAGTATGGACATCTCCCTAGCACTTGCATATTAAGGAAATACAATGCTATAAGTAATGGGAAGTACTGAGGAAGTACAACACTTTAAGTAATACATGTTAACTATTTTCAAGCAAAAGATGCTGCTCCAGAATGTGAATGCTTGTTTTCCTCAACTGCTTTCTTGCCTGAGGTAGATCACCTTAATCAATATCTAAACCTGTATACATTATTGATGGCATGATTTACTTGAGGACGGGGCTTCCGAGTTGCTTGTTTCATATTTCTTCCATACAAAATTGTCATTGTTTACCCACAGTGAATCATTCCACGTTTCTTTCTTAGCCACTGAAGGCACAATGGACGTCTCACAAGCTTTTTCAATGACAGACAAGTCAGTGAGCCGGTTAATACTTTCATCATTTTGTTCAGTGAGGATATCCCAGAAATCTTTAGTGCGGTGCCTGAATTTAGTTGTGACCGAATCACACTGGGTTCTTACTGGTAAGGCAGATGCTTGTCGGAGAGTGGAATTGCTGAAAAGATCATCAAGTATGGATGTATCACCAAGCAAGTCACTGACAGATTTTGCTTTATTTTTCACTTTTTCTTGCTTCAGTGCTTTGTAGTGTGTGACATTATTGATCTGGTCAGATATAGCACTTGTATGTGGCTCTGCCATTTCAAATTCTCTATATGGTGAACACATCCTTTGTAGAGTATTGCTTTGACATTGCGTTCCTTTCTCTGTGATAGGAGGCGTATCTATTTTCTTGTCAGGTTTAATGTCATCACTTTCAGCAAGATCAATATCCAATACTATAGTGTGGTTACTGTTAGTATTTACATGCGTCTCCAAGGCTTCCTTGGGTAAGTGAGTTTTTTTACGTCGCTTTTTTGATTTGATTTCAACATCCCTAATTTTGGGAATACTGTCCCTTTCTCTTTCAAGAAGTGGAGCATGCACAGGGTATAACTCTGCCACCTCTGTATGTTGACTGGCATAAAATTCTCGGAGCATACTTTGCCGTACATGTGAGTTCACTTTCACGAGGTGGTGAGCTAGCTGTTCGGTTGAGTCCATTTTGAAATATGACACCATCTGCTCAAAATGTCTCCTGGAACATCAAAAATACATCATTCGTTAGACTTAGACAGACATTTACAGTAAATGTATGTAGCATCCAATCAATTATAATACATTGTATGAAGTTGTTAACATATACTTGAGCTAATAAATGAAGTCACTAACATATACTTTGTACTTTTAATACAGGAATTCTAATAAAAAATACTGCAGCACCCAAAAGTTTATTTTCAATTTTAAATGATGGGGCACACCACCAGCAATTAATTTACAGAGGCAACACTGTAAAAATAAAATGATAAATACCTTTTTCTTATTGTTTAATTTCTAGATCATGTGATTCTTTCTTTTATTCACCTTAATGCAGCCTGGGTTGGGGGCATGGGCTAAGACACATCGGGTTACATGTACTGGTGACATGGCTTCAATTAGGCCCTCCCCCAGTGCATGCAGAGTGGAGTGTAGCTGTCAGTTAATCATCTGACCTGCCCTACAGACAGCAACAAGCTTCACTCCATTCTGCATGGCCGGGGGGCTGAAAAAGCTGAAGTGACATCACCAGGACATGTGACCCACTCTGGCTTAGCATGTAAAGGGCACAGAAACCTTATGAAAATTATTAGGACATTTTACTGACACTATAGTAGTATTAAACTCTGGGTGTTTTTTACCTTAATGCATTCGTTTGAAAATCTACTAGTGTATACCCAGCTTGAGAACAGGCTGCATTGATTAGGTGCAGTGCAGGGTGTAGGGAGACCTAGCACTTGTCTGTGCGATCTGACTAGGGTGCCTGGATCACAAGACTGGTTAAATTGAATTACATTGTTTGACAGGCATATATGTAAATCAGTTGTGTATTTGTTTGTTTGCTAGGAGTTTAGCTTTAATACATTAACTAGAACAGTATAACACAGGTAAGCCTTTAACATTTTCTTAATGACAGTCTTCCAAACAAAATGTAATCATGTGATGTTTAAAAAGTCCAACTCTGATAGATATACTCTATCACAATTTAAGAGGTTGAATTACATTTATTTAAACATTTCTAAAAATTGCATTTGTTGTAAAAGTCTTACTTTACTGGAACTGATAACTATTCTAAATGCTTTCCAATGGTAATCAACACCATATTTCATTTTTTTGGACATGTAATGTCTAACACATATGTGCAGAGTTTTAATTACATTTAGCTGAGGTACAGCTAGTGCTGAGGGGGGACAATCCAAGTCACTTTTACATTCTTTAACATGCTGTCCAAGTCTCATTACACACATGGCTCAAACCCAAAACTATGTCAACGCTGCAGGCATGTGTCTACACAAAGACTAAATTAACATTAAACGGGTGTCAAGTAGATGACACAAGTAATGACAAGCGACAAGTCACTTTAAAAATGATAAAAACTACCATTCTAAAAAAAAGCTTTTGCCACAAAAAAACGTTATATTATTCTCAGAAATCTATGAAGACAAAAATAGGGTAAAATACAGTATATCAAAACAGAAGAAGTGATACTTTAAGAGCTCAGCCTCATTCATAAATATCCCTTTGTAATTCTATTAGGCTGCACTGTGCCTGTATAGAACATGCCCATCACCACTTCACGTCTTAGGTGTGCATGTGTTTTAAGTAGAAAACTGATGGAAAAGAAAATCAGTAATCAAAGGAGATGTTTGTAAAAACTATCACAGTCAGCTGTTTAGGATACAGGTGCATGGGTCACAAACTAAACTTCAAATCCTTTGCTAATTGAGGTAGCCCACTTTAAACTAGGTAAGTGCCCTATTTATATAGGTAACTTGTTAGAAGAAACCCTCTCATAGCATTTGTGACAGGATAGTGAAGTTACAGCAGGTCACAAGTTATGACATCTCTGTGATTTATCTTCCTTTTCAATAAACTCCATTGTTAGGTTCACGTTACTATTTAATGTTGTAAAGCCTTATTGGCTGCCAGTTCCTCTTTCAGTCTGAATGCTGATGTGCAGGGGATTGTAGGAGGCTAGTACAAAGGACAGACCAAGGTACTGTTGAATTAAATACATTTAGCTATATTGACTACATTACTGGATTAAATGTGGATCCTTCATTTTTGCATGGACTTGTGCTTTAAAGTGCGGAAGGAACAGAACCATCATGTTTTTATGGTGGTCTGTGTCCCCATTATAGAGACTTCTCCTAGTGTCACTCCATGTATCAAAGTCTGTCCACAAAGATTAACAAATGTCCTTTCACTATGGAAAGTAGGAGTGCACCTGCATGCAAAGGAACACAGAGGATTTGGCTACCAAGCTTGAAAAGTCTTGATAAGGATGTCAGGGGAGTGGAGTAAGGAAAAGGGACATTCATTAACATTTAGGGAAGAAGACGACTTTGGAGTATGTTCCTTAGGCTTCTTCTGCTGCGGAAAAAGGGTGCTCTTGCCACCAGCAGCATTTTTAAGGATGCTGTCAGGAGCATGTCCAAAGAGATGCTGTCAGTCAATAGCAATGCAGATAAAATGCTTTTTACTCACGGGCTCCAAAAACAACACATAGATTAAGACATATTGCCACCAAGTGGTGGTAGGGCAATGTGTACTCTCAGGGTAGATTGGAGATCAGCTGGTATCAGGGGAGGTTCAGATGACTGGAGGTAACCAAAATTACTGTACGCGAGCAGCAGTAGAGAATCAAATATCTAAGCTCCCTTCTGCTCTTTGCAAGCAGAATCAGCAGTAGGGAGATGCTTCCTTTATGCTGTATGGTGGAAAAAAGAGGGCAGAACATGCGTAACCAACCCAGAGGATGATGTCAGTTCTCAGTCCAACAACTTTAACCCCTTCCATTGCAAATCCGGCAGGAACAGGGAAAAAATAGCCATCAGAGACCTATGTGAATGAGGTAGCTCCCGATACTTCACCTGACTGGCCTACTCACTAAGCGAGTCTTCAGAGACAGGGCAAGCTCCAAGGCAATGGCAGCAGTTTTAGACCAGGAACGCACTCCACAGCTAACTTTTACCAGAACAGAGTCTGGAAAGTGCCCCACGGGAACCCAGCGCTTGGAGGTTACTTCCAGGCTCTCCCAACAACATCAAATTACAAGCCAGACTGTGGAGACTGAGGATACCCACTCAAGGTAGTTGCAATCAAAGCAAAAAAGAAGAGTCTTGTTAAAAGAAAAATATTAGTATAAAAACATCTATAGAAGCTCCTGCACCTTTTGAAAAATTGCACTGCACCATGTTGCACTCATGTGAATGGGCACCATAAAGAATAATGGGAGGGGGGGGGGGTTTATCAGACCTGGGGCACACAGAATTTGGAGCCGTTGCCCATAGTAATCAATCAACTTCTCTCTTCAGTTTGTTCCGTTAAGCTTTGAAAATGAAAGAGAGGAACTGATTGGTTGCCATGCACAGCTGCTCCAGATTTTGTCAGCTCCAGTTTTAATAAATTCCCCTCAATATGATTTCCATTATTGTGCATTGCAGCAGGCGTAGGACAAATTGCACTAGTGTGAACAGGATGTTTTTTAGGATTCTGTTACAAAGTTTCTTATGTGGAGATCCTGCCAGTAACATCACTTTTTGTTGCAAGCTGACAACACTTAGCCATTAAGTATTCGAGTCCTATCAGGGGATTCTGCATGCACATGGGTTTAAAAGGAGAATGCAGATAGGAGAGATGACCTCAGTCTGTCCCTGCTCCGTCACTATCCAATAACAGGCTGGGGACAGGGAACTGCAGCAAAAAAAAAAAGTCAGGTCAAAAGTTGCTCTCTATGGTAAGGCTTTGTAAATCTTAAAATGGGATAGACAGAAATACAAAGCTTTTGGCAGGTAAGACAACCCTGATATATGTATCTCAACTGCGTATTTAGCCATCTCCCTGGAGCTCAAACTTAAAGTATTTCAGATTTAGTGGATGTAGCTTTAATTTTTAGAATTGGTGTCATATGTAATCATGTCTGAACTAAATCATTTTTTCTAGAACTTTCCTTTTTTAATTTGTGAGACAATTCTTCAGAAATCACTTTGATTAAGCCATTTAGTGCAATGTTATTTCTTATCTAAGCAAATGTAAATATTTTGTAATATCCAGGACCACTGTGTAGATTTTGCACAGGGTTACAAGATCTTATGCTGTTTATTAATTATGTCCAAAATCCATTCTGGGGGATTAGCAAATAAATATTTGGTTTATAGAGCTTAAGGGATTTCAATTGTGGGACACTGTAGTTTTATGTATCCAAATTCCAGTTTGGTATTTTGTTTGTGGCTGCCAAGAAAGCTTTACCTTTCTTCTGCCAAGATTGTGACCTCAACCTTAACCCAACAATGCGACCTTAGAAATGGGGAATTGCTTCACTCACTTTTCCCTTATAAAAACGAACTTTGGCTATAATATGTTAAACATGCATGCAATACTGGGGGCAAGTAATATGCTAGACTCATACAGCTTGTTTTACACTGTCGTTGATAGTCTTTGAAGTGAGGTAGAAATCTCCAGTTTTGATATAATAATTAGCTATTACATACCAATACATAGTCTAGTGATATTACAGAGATGTCAAGCTCCAAGGTGATTCAATCATGTTTGTCCATATTAGATACTATTAAATGGATATGCTGCTTTCAAAAATTTGATCCTGCCCCATTTAGTTCTACCAGAGCTAGAATTTTATAATAATGATTTTATAAAATGTTTTATTTGTAGTGACACGTATACAGTACAGCATCAGTTGGTAACAAGTCATATTGGTGTAGTAAAACAGTATCTTCAAGTGCAATTTCCACAGATGATATACAGCATAATATGCATTAAGAAAAAACATGTATCAGAGATGTGAGTCCGTAAGAGAGTGTTAAAAGGGGAGTTGGAGAACTGTACTGTATACCAATGCTGAAGATATTCCTGCATGCCCCTGAGAGGGGAGAGAACAGTGGTTGTGGTAGAAGAAAGGAGTGAGAGGGAGGGTTGGGGGGAGGTCCCTAAGGATGGGAGAGGGACAAGGGCCGAGGTCAAGAGTAGTGGATTTGTTTTATATCTATTACCTCTTAATAAAACAAAAACACATGCATAAAAACAATCACAACTTTGTAGGCATAATAAAAAAAATCCCTATTTCAAATCCATATCCAAAAACCATCAGGCAAAATATTCTGTATATATTTTAATAGATGCCTTAAACTCAACTCTAGCTTGGGAATAAAATAAAAACAGCACAACCCAGAATGTTTTAACAAATAAAAAAACAGGCTTCTATAGTAATCCAGTCTCTGGCTCTGCACCCCACAGACTCACCAATTCAGTTAAGTGGCTTTAACATAACCATTTCCACAAAGTCTGGGATTTATATGTTCTTAGTACCTTAACAAATTTAGGGGTCTCACTAAGGCGGTTGTTTTATTTTGAGATGGTCTGACACTGACACACTGGTGGACTCAATTTAAGTGCCAATTTGACTTCTGTCGTTGATTGCACTAGCTTCTTTAGTAGTTTGACAGCAAATAGGGTGAATACCTGTACAACCAATACCTTTCTTTTTTTTTTTTAATCTGTAAGTAATTTGGAAAATTATGCAGAAATGTAATTGCTTTTCAACATTATAGGCTAATGCTGACCAACACAACTTCATCGCCCCTCCTTTGCATATACAAAAACACTGCGCTATGATGCTTCATCTCATTGCTCTACACTGGCAGATGTTCTGTTTACCCACTATTTCCATACCTACTCTCCTCTCCATCATAAGCATTTTGCTTCACTTCCAACCATAACCACTCTCATTTGTGAACACTCTCCTCTTCTTCTATCTTTGACTGCTATGCCGCGAGCAGCAGCTCGCGGTATACTGCGGCGTCTCAGTATACCGTGAGCTACAGCTCGCGGTATACTGAGCCTAGGGTAACGGGAGGACGCTAGTTTGTGTCCTCCCGTTACCCTGAGCAGAACTATGGGAAAAAGCCTTAACCCTATAGTTCACCTTTAATACTATGTCTAACTGCACTGCACAGAAGCAGTTCCTTTTTGTGTAATATATACTACGACTGTTTACTTACAAACAGCAGAATATAATTTGGAGTAGATCAACATAAAAGCCATACATAATAAACTAAATATTTTGTAGAGTCATATTGCATATGCTTAATCCATTGTAATATTCCATTGGAATACACGGAATTCATAATTGTTGTAAATATACCAGCATTTTTATGGCGACAATTCATACAAAAAAAAAGAAGAAAAATACTAAAATGATAAAAATGGCAAAATTTCAAAAAGCTTTTTTCTGTTCTGAAAAACATTTTTAAAACACAATGCAGGACCAACCTCAAAGTTAATATTGCATATCCTTTGTTTTAGTATTTGTGGTGACATCACAGCATTTGAATGTCAATAATTAACCCTATTCCTATTGTTACGTAACCTGTGATGTGACACATTGTTTCTGGAATGTGGTTTCATTTAAAAAATAAGAGTGAAATTCAGCTTAGCTCCTGCCTCCAGATGCAATTCGTAAAGTGTTCAATTCTTTACACACTGATAATTCAGCATGAATATTCTTTGATAAACTGAGAAAAATGTGATGCCCCAAGAGCAAAAAAATAAATTAACTACATCTCAACAGTCCTCTAATGTGGTGGCTGCATTACTAGATTTTCAGCAGGTACAGAGAAATACCTGTTTATCTTACCAGAAAGTCCTTGTAACTTCCTAGAAGGTCCTTCTAACTTCCTGAAAAGTGTTTAAGGTCCAAATCAGGAGAGCAGCCTAAGGTGACAACACTGTTCCTTCTTAGATATAGTAAAGTAAGGGAGCATTGTCAGCCTTGGAGCAGGACTGCCAGATAAAAATAAAGAGAAAAAGGCCTGATTTAAAAAAAAACCAATGCCAATAAATCTAAACGCGGGTATGTTGCAACATATTCCTTTTCTGTTTCTGGGTTTAGTTGCTCTTTAGTTACATTATCTATACTGACTGGTACTCCTCTCTCTTACAGCGCCAAGTCTTCATGAACCTGGAATATCTAAAATTTACCAGATGCTCCTTTTATTGGTGAATTTGACAACGCAGCCCACCTGGGCAACTATAATAGCAGTTTATAAAGATCGATTTTTTTGGATGCCAGAGCAATGAGTCTTTGGGAGACAGCATAGGAGAGAGGATGAGTACTGCAGTAATAGCCGTTTCTTTAATTTCACTCTTGCAATGCATTGTGTATTCTCATTTTTTGTTACAACATTGGAGTTGGCCTTTAAAGGATAACAGAACTTATATATAAATAGATTCTAACTTTATCCCCTCGTATACCTCCTTTAACGTACCTAAGATAAACAGGCACTCTTCTTCACCAGCCACAGCCTATGCCAGACTTGAAGGCTCACATCCTTTACACTAAGATGGCAGGCTGCAGTGTACTGCACAAGAGCAGCAGATCCTCCATAGGACCCAAGGGAGAAGTCATCTACTTGCAAGCCTTCATCCCTAAACAGCCCTATGCGGTCTAATCTTTCATTTGAAGGATTCCCTCTATATAAAGATTATTGCATATGGCTCAGCCGATATTTTAACTACAATCACTGACTAAATAAAAAAAATGTAATTTGATATCATTTTCTAAAACTGCAGGATTTTGGAGTCTTGACCACTGCATACATTAGCATCTTAAGATGGCATGCCACTGAAGAACTTAAGTAAGTGACTCTTTCAAATGCGCCCATAAAAAAAAGCTGTGGTACATAGAGAGACTTGTCAGTTAACCCCTTCATGACTGAGGCCCTTTTTTTCAATTTTTGCACCCAGGATCTGTCCTTGGACCCCTTCTTTTTTTCTATCTACACCACCTCTCTTGGTCAGTTAATAACCTCACATGGCTTCCAATACCATCTCTATGCCGATGACACTCAAATATATCTTTCTACTCCACAACTCACCCCCACAGTGTCCTTCCGTGTCATTAATCTACTAACTGACATATATGTCTGGATGTCACAACACTTCCTAAAACTCAATCTTTCAAAAACTGAGCTCATGATATTTCCTCTTGCCCGTGCACCTTCCCCCAACTTTTCCCTTGAGATTGATAACACAACTATTCATCTCTCCCCCATACCAAGGTGCTAGGTATCATCCTGGACTCAGACCTCACCTTTCTGCCCCTCATCCAATCCCTATCCAAATCCTACCGTCTTCACCTTCCTAACAACCCCAATATACGCCCCTTCTTCACCAATGAAACCACTAAGCTAATCATCCACTTACTTGTTATCTCTCGTCCTGACTACTGCAGCTCCCTCCTCATTGGCCAACCTCTACAAAGGCTATCCCTCCTTCAGTCTATCATGACTGCAGCTGCTAGACTCATCCACCTAACCAACCGCTCAGTGTCAGCAATCCCCCTCTGCCAATCCCTCCACTGGCTTCCACTCGCCCAAAGGATACAACTCAAATATTAACCATTTACAAAGCTATCCACAACTCTACCCCCGGCTATATCTCAAACCTTGTCTCAAAGTATCACCCTAACTGTCCCCTCCGCTCCTCCAGAGACCTTCTGCTTTCCAGCTCCCTCAACAACTCCTCCCATGCTCGCCTCCAGGACTTCTCTAGAGTCTCTCCCATCCTCTGGAACTCTTTATCCCAACCTGTCCATCTATTTCCCACTCTGACTGCTTTTAGGCGATCCCTAAAGATTCATCTCTTCAGGGAAACCTATCCCACCTCTAACTAACCACTGAAACATCACGTTCTCAAAAAGTCAATCCCCACACAGCTACCTCCTCATGTACCACTTGCCCGCCCTTTTTAGATTGTAAGCCCTCACGGGCAGAGCCCTCCTTAGCATCTTGTCTTGAATTGTATTGTAATGTCTTCCTTATATTGTAAAGCGCTGTGCAAACTGTTGGCACTATATCAATTCTGTATAATAATAATTTTCTCTAATTATGCCCTGTTGTTGAGTACAAAGCTTTCCATTCTTGATAAACCATGAAAAAATAGGTGGAGGAGACCTTTTTCTATCAGAAGATGATTGGAAGGGGATAGTCTGCTCATTTGCTGGCACGGTAAAATATTAGATGTGTTATTTATATAGATGTGTTATTTAATCTGTACACTCAACCCCTGAATATTAATCTTTATTTTAGTACATTTCATTGTGGTAGAATGGGTGCCAACTTTAACTTTTCTAACCCCTAATTACTTAAGCACCAAATATCTCTACTCACCAACGGATTTAAAAAAAAATAATAATTACTTAATCGTGGTAATATGTCCATAACATCAACTCAGCTCAGATCACTCAGCTATGAAAGAAATAGGTACCTATGCTGTATACATATTAAGTTTTCCTGTAGCATTTATTGCCGTTTGGTTGTTTGCTATAGTGTTCTTTATTATCTTTAAAATAATACTTACTTTATCATTGATCTGGGAGTCTCTCCTAACAGAAACATTTTTTCACTAACTTGCAGTACTTGACTTTGCTTGTGGACTAGTGGATACCGTAAGATGCTGTTGCTTTCCTTTTCTTCTTCCTTATTTTTCTGTGATAATATTTTTTGTTTGGTAAAGTCACATTTCTGTAATAGAAAATGTGTTCAATTACATCACTGATTTAAAAAAACAGCTGCAGTATTTGCTAGAAACCCATCATAAATCAACATTGAACAAGGTTCCTCAACTGCTAAAGACTAAAATCTTACTAACTGTCATGATCCCTAAGCATAATTTTATTACACATATACCAAACAATTCATAAAATGAATTAAAAGTATTCATGATAACAAAACTCCCGTTTCAATCATGTGTATTATGTAGTAGTAATCAACCACAGCAGCAGAGCAACCCTTATTTAGGGGAGTGGCCCTGAGGGCGAGATCCATATCTCTATATCTATATCATGAGATCTTGCTCTCTAGTCCAAAGAAGCTTCTCTACTCAGAACATGCAGCCAAGCCATCTCCATCCAACGCTAACATACTGTATCTTGTTATGGCCATATACAGGTTTGTAAAGGCAGTTTTTATGGTGTCCATAGACCTATATCAGGGGTCAGCAACCTTAAACACTCAAAGAGCCATACAGATAGAGTGGTTGATGCACAAAAAGAGAAGGCGGTACATGAAAATGAGGTTCACTACCCCAGCGTGACTGATGTGTTTCGCCGTTTTTTTTACCATCAGAGGGGCATGTGGCATTGTAAGTCAGCACTGGTTAAAAACACGTAAGGAGAGGATCAACATTTCACATGGTTCACCCCACTTCCCTCCCAGCAATCCACAGGCCATGCAGGCGCATCTTAAAAGGAACGCAAAACATACACTTACAGTCTACTCCCTCATCATAGCCCCAAACAGGACAGCTCATACACAGACCACGGACACCAAACAAGGGGAAGAAAAAACAAAACACCTAGACAATAGCAATTAATATGAACCAATATTGACATTTCACATGAACGAATATTAATTGGATTAACAAATTTAAACAAAAATGTGAACAACAGTATAAATATAAATTTAGGGAGCAGGAAGAGGGATCGAAGCAAAAAGAAAATACATCTAAATAGAGAAATTTCTTGGGTATTGAATTAACACTATGTATGTTTTTTAATGGTAATGTGTACAGAAAAATATTGTGACTGTACACTGGCTGGCAGAGGGGCTGGCAGGGGATCACACAGGTATGTACAGCACAGGGCGGGAGAGGTGGCGGGGTGCTGTCGGTAAGTTCATTTTCTCACATTTTGTGAGAAAGTGAACTTTCTCTTTAGGTGAAGTGCATATAATAGAAAACTGCAATGTGCATGAGGGAAAAAAACAATGCCAATAGAGATGACCATGACTAATGTCCACACCAAGGCAGAATACCAATGTATAAGGATAAGAACACTAGAAAGAAAATAGGTAAACTCAATGGATAAGCTACTTATCAAAGTGTGAATTGAGGGGTGCTAGCTCCTGTGCTGCAAAAGTTCTACGAAATGGCATGGTGGGGGAAGTGAGGGAGAAGGCAGGCCCCCTTAAAGTATTTATAGGCCGAAGGAATTTTTTTAAAGACACTTTCTTATGAAGCACAATAACTGTCAGCCCCTTTGCAGATCTCTTTACACCACTTTAGACTCCCCATCATTATTTTTCCAATTAATTAATTTGTTTTTTTTTATGGGGGAGGTGGTAGGGCCACAAAGTGTTCTCTGTCCAGATTATCTTTAAAATATTACACTACCATTATTCAGTAATCAATAAAATAGGTTCAAAATTACTGTCCGATATCTCCTTGGAATACAAATAAGAAAACATCCACTGAGACTTAATCCAGACTGAATAAAAGGCTATTATATTTAATTGTGCTGCCCTTGATGGGTGAACAAGACATTATCATCTCCAATTTCTATTAAATTTATTCTAGCAATGCCTTTCAGCTACATTTTTCAAGGAACTTCCCAACAAATATTTCATCTTTCCTTTAATACAGCTTGCTCCTTGTTGAAAGCAAGTCAGTGTCACCTAAGTATATGCCACTGGACAGCTCGGTCAGGAAGGAGACTATGATGGGAAAAACATACACAGAAATTATCTATGGCTTTTACATTTCCCTGCTGTATTTCACATTTTGAGACAAAGATGGCAGAAGGAAATCATCCATCAATGTTAACACTTTATATTTCTTTATTTTATGTCACCTTTTCCTCAAATAGCAGCAAAACATTTTACTGTATGTTAAAACTTAACTTGGATATCTTATTTTCCTATGAGCAGATACTGATGAGGTACCTTGAGTCTAATGACAAGGACAGGAAATGAATACTTTGAATTAAAGTCGGTCCTGCTCCACTGAAGAAAATTCTTTAACACCATGAGGACCCTTTCGCTGCCAACGCCTTTTTTTTTTAGTTTTTTGCACACATGATATACCGTATTTTTCGCTCCATAAGACACACTTTTCCCCCCCCACATTTTAGGCATCAAAAATTACTTCAAACTCCCAAAACGTTATACATTTTCTGAAAGCCAACACCCTGTAGAATACAATGGTGGCTGTTGCAAATTTGTATGTTGCGCAACTCTTTATCAAACCCAAAAATGTAGTGAAAAAGGCACTTAAGTTAATTTTAGTGCCCCAAAACACAATACCCATTGTGTTTATGCAATAGAAAAGCTTAGGTTTTGATGAGTAAATAAATACCCAACATGCCCAGGTTAAAATTGCGTGCATCCGTTAAATGGCAACACATTTAATTACCCTTTAAAAGCCCCTTCAGGTCTTCAATTTAGAGATTCAAATAAATATTGGCCCTAGAATTATTTATCTCACTCTGGCGTGCATGGCGATACCCAACATGTATAGTGCGATTGACGTTTTCCTATGTAGGCGCATCCAACGTGTATGTGCGTGAATGCGCACATACACGTTGGGCAAAAAAAATTTTTAAATTATTTTTACATTTATTTTATTCTATATTTTTTAAAACTTTTTTCTTGCTTTACTTTAATTGCCATCACATGGGGTAGACTTATTTTCACTTATTTTTCCATTAAACCCCCTAAAAAATCCCACAAATATCTGTTGATTCTGCCGGAAAAATCCACCTCATGCAGCTTAATGGACGGAGTGAAAATGTTGCTGTACTGCCCCTGAATGTAGATCAGCGTTGTTACGCTCATGTGGGCTGTGACCGCTTGCACTACAGTGGGATAAGAGGGGACTAGGCTTTAAGCATTATAACAACTGATTCACATTTCAGTAACTCATCAATCAGCAGCTGACACACATATCCCTTCCCACTGCTTTCTGGATTAACAGCACTGCCTCCGTTACTGAAACACTCCCACTGTGAGCTGCAGTGTCTGCGAGGGAAAGCATGTGAGATAATTACAATTTATACAGCGCGAAAATATTCCCCAGCGCTGTACAATCGTTTAGACAAGACAAGTAAAAAACACTGATAAGCATCATTGACCTACAGCAACAGTAGGTGAGGAGGACCATGCCTAATCGAGTTTACAGTCTAAGAGGAAGAGGATCAAAGACCCAGAGGTGGGAAAGGGGAGACTGCAGAGGGTGAGAAATGAAGGGGAGAGCTGATAAGCTTCTCTAAAGAGGTGTGTTTTGAGGGATTTTTTTTAAAGCCCTGTAGGGATGGTGAGAGCCTGATGTGGCACAGGAGAGAATTCCATAAAGTGGGGGCATTCCTGGTGAGTTCCTGTAGACAAGAGTTGGGTGGGCGTGAGAGTGAGCAGGATAGTGTCAGGTCATTAGTGGAACGAAGGGGACGATTTGGAGTATATATTCTAATTAGGGATGAAATATAAGCCGGTGCGTGGTTATGCAGAGCTTTGTAGGCTAAGAAGTTTGAATTGTATCCTACAAGAAACAGGAAGCCAGTGCAGAGAATGACAGAGGTGTGACGTGTGAGAGTAGCGGGAGGTAAGGTAGATGAGTCTGGCTGAAGCGTTCATGATGGATTGAAGGGGGGGCAATCTGGGCATGTTTTAGGCCGATGAGAAGGTTGCAGTAGTCAAGTCGGGAAATGATTAGCGCATGGACAAGCATTTTGGTGGTGTGGTTTCCTCGGTGAGAAAAAGTAGAATTTGAGAGATGTTTTTTAGATGAAAACAGCATGATTTAGTGATAGAGTGAATGTGCGGGGAAAATGAGAGTTCAGAGTCAAAAAGCATGCCAAGGCAGCGTGCCTGCGGAGTAGAGGAGAAGAGAGATGGACATGGGGGTAACCTTAAAGGGAGCAAACACGAGGAGGATTTGGCTCAATCAGGAAAGGTAAAGCAATTTATTTTTATGGTCCGAGGCTTGTGCATCATATTGTAACTGAAATTGTAGGCAGTTGGTGTCTGATGGAGCAGGCCATGCTAGTACAGGCAATTCAAGTGGGGAGGTTTCTTTGTGTCTATTGTCAATGTCAATTAAAGTTGTGGGGGGACAAAACTACTACCTTGTCTAGGACCTCAATCTGCTTTAAACAGTCTATGGAATTTTCTACAAAAGGCTGTTTCTATCTGGGAAAAGACTAAAGGGTAACTAGGGTGTATTACCATCTGACCAACAATTTGTATCCAACTAAATACATGCCAGAGGTATGGGAGCATCTAATCATTTTAAACAGGTGATTCAAAGCTAACACAATTAACATCTTAGCCACTTTTTCCCCGAGTGTGCTGGGCAGCCGTTTTCTTTTCACCAGCTTGTTTTGGCTATAAAACAACCCTTTGCTAAATCTCAGCATATTTTTATTCAATCACAATGATTCTCTCCTGCTGACAGAAGGGGAAAGAGACACCTAACTTCCTACGTTTCTAATAATGTTATTATCCAATGAGTCTTCCCTAACGTTGGTTTTAATACATTTGCTATGCATTTCCCCTCATTGTTCTAGTAAGTATACACTTGCAAAAGAAAGATAATATTTTCTGGGTGGAAAGATAATTTAAGCTTTTCAACCTAAATAGTTGCCAATGAGGTCATAAATAGATGCCAATGAGTTTCATTCATTTATATAAGTTGCCATAATTATTCTCTTTTTCAAAGACACAAGACATACATGAAGAAACAATGCTTTTGT